GATGGCATGGGCCAGTGCTATGGGGCAGCAGTATGGGGTGATACTATGGGGCAGTACCATGGGGGGTCGCTATGTGGTGATGCTAAGAGGCAGCGGTACTGGGGACATTTTGTAGCTGAGCTATGGGGCTGTGCTTTCAGGCAATGCAATGGGGCAGCACTATGGCATGGTACTATGGGATGGCACCGTTGGGTGATTCTATGGGGTGACACTATGGGGCAGCACTATCGGGTGTTGCTATGCAATGATGCTATGGAGCAGCATTATGGGGGACATTTTATGGCTGAGCTATGGGGCAGTGCATTGGAGCAACACTATGGGGCAGCACTATGGCATGGTACTATGGGATGGCACCATTGAGTGATTCTATGGGACAGTGCTATAGGACAATGCTGTTGAGTGATGCTATGGGGTGACAATATGGGACAACATTGTGGGGGCAGGGTTATGGGGTGACATTATGGGAAAGTGCTGTGAAGCAGCACTAGGGGGTGATTCTATGGGGTGACACTATGGGGCAGTGCCATGAGTTGACACTATTTGGTGACTCTATGGGGCAGTGCTATGGGGTGATGCTATGGGGTGATGCTATGAGGCAGTGTTATGCAGCGATGCTGTGTGGCAGTGCTATTGGGAAGAGCTCCTGGAAAATGATATGCAGTGACACTATGGGGCAGAAAAATGGGATGGCAGTATGGGTCAGTTCTGAGGGGTGACGCTATGGGGCTGCGGTTTGCTGTGACTCTATGGGGTGATGCTATGGAGTAACTCTATGGACCAGTGGTAGGAGGTCACATTATGGGGTGATGCTATGCGGTGATGCTATGAAGCAGTGCTACGGGATGACATTACAGAGAGATGCTATGGGCCAACGCTGTGGGACACTGGTGTGGGAGTTTGTTTTGGGGTGATGCTATGGGACATCCATAATGTCACTAGGGTGACATTATGGTTCAATGTTATGGTGTGACACCATGGGGCAACACTATGGGATGATGCCATGGGGTGGCGATACAGAGTGATGCTATAGGGTGACATTAAGGGGCAGTTCTATGAGGTGATACTATAGAGTGAGACTATGGGGCAGCACTACAGGGTTGCATTATGGGGTGATGCTGTGGGTTGACACTGCAGGGTGATGCTATGCGTCCGTTCTACAGGGTGATGCTATGGGGTGATGCTATGGGACAGCGCAAAGGGGATATGCTATGGGGTGACATTAAGGAAAAGTGCTAGGGGGAATCAGTATAGGGCACTGTTATGGGGTGAGACTATGGCCAGTGCTATGGGGTGATGTTACAGGTGGATGATATGGGGACACACTATGGGGCATTGCTGTGGGGGGACAATACGTGTCAGTGGTATGCGGTGATGATATGGGGCAGCGCTATGAGGGACATTTTGTGGATGAGCTATGGGGCAGCGCTTTCAGGCGATGCCATGGGGCAGCACTAAGGTGTGGTACTATGGGATGGCACCGTTGGGTGATTCTATGGGACAATGCTATGGAGCAGTGCTATGGGGTAATGCTATGGGGTGACACTATGGGGCAGTTCTGTGAGGTGATGTAATGGACTGACACTCCGGGCAGTGCTCTGGGGCAGTGCTATGGGTTCACGTTATGGGGAGATATTATTGGGCAGCCCTATGGGATGGAACTATAAGGAAATGTTATGCGGCAGTTCTGTGGGATGACACAGTAGGACAGCACTATGGGGCAGTACCATGAGGCAGTGCTATGGGGAGATGCTACAGGGTGACGCTAAGGGGCAGAGCTATTTGGCAACAATACATGATGATTCTATGGGGCAGTGATGTGGGAAGAGATATTGAGGTGACGCTATGGAGCAGCGCTATGGGGCAGAGCTCCAGGAAGTTGATATGGCGTGATGCTATAGGGCATAACCATGGGATGACACTATGGGACAGTGCTATGGGGTGATGCTACAGAGCAGCGTTTTGGTGTGACCCTATGGGGTGACGCTATGGAGCAGCACTACGGAGTGAAGCTGTGGGGCAGCACTATGGGGTGATATTATGGAGAGATGCTATGGGGCAGTTCTATGGAGTGACACTAGGAGGCAGCACTATGGGGTTACTTCATGGGGTGATGCTATGAGGCGACACTATGGGGTGACCATATGGGGCTGTGCTGTGGGGCAGTACTTATGAGCCAGTGCTATGGGGCACTGCATTGGGATACTGCTATGGGGCAGCACTGTAGTGTTTTCCTATGATATCACCATTGGGCGATTCTGTGGGACATTAGCTTCTCTGGCTGGAAGGAATGTAAAGCAATTTTGAAATATTAATTTTGTCTAATACTGTTTAGCTTACTCCAAAATTCACAACTAAGGTATTAAAACAGCATTAAACGTAGCGGAAGCACATGCTGTAACTCTGCCATTAAAGGTCTCACTTAATCCATTCACTCTATATCTTCTACTCATTGTGATACTCCCCTTGGCCTTTACATTCCCTGATTCTTACCTAATTTTTGATTATTTCTCATCTCAGTACCCTGAATTTGCGCATGCTGTCATACCAGTCTCCCACACTTCTTCCACTTCAGTAATTCTTCTCCCTGCTTTTCACCTTATTCTGTAGCAATAAATGCCCAAGAAACACTACTCTTCTACTCCTTCCGGTTCCCCCTTTGGACCACAGTCAGGGAAACAGGAGCACATGTTCCTTCACCAGAAGACCTGAAATAAACGTTGATTAATGGGGAAGCCCATCCAAACTTTTCCTGTCTGCCTCTTCTGTCCCAGCTGTCAGGAAGACCGAAGAACCTATATTACACATCAACAAGCCAAAGAAAAATCAGGTGCTCTATGCAAATATATTAATGTTTGCAGAAATGTACTGCTGTACATGCCCTTCCTCATCCCAACACTTTTTCTTCAAGAGAACCATCCCCTTTTTCTGTTCCTGGACAGCAAGAAGCAGAAAGTGCTTTTCTATTGTTACACAGCCTAAAGTACTTGCTTCTGAATTTCCCCATTGCCGTATAATTTATGCCATAGTTGTTTTTGAATTTTCCCACTGTCTATGTCATATAATCTATGTCACTCACAGACAATATATTAAAGTCTCTGCTCTTGCAGATTGATCAGGCAAGATCTGCCCTTAGTGAAGCCATGCTGGCTGTCTTGAATCACCTTTTATCTCATATGTGCCTTAACATAGCTTCTAGGAGGATCTGCTCCACAATCTTCCCAGGCACAGAGGTGAGGCTCACCGGCCTGTAGTTTCCTTTGGTGTTTCCTGGGTGTTCCTTTCTCCCTTTCTTAAAAATGGGAGTAACATTTATCTTTTTCCAGTCACCAGGGACTTCACCAGACATCCACGATTTTTCAGATACGATGGAGAGCAGCTCAGCAACCACATCAGACATCTCTTTCAGAACCCTAGGACGGATATCATCCGGCCCCATGAACTTATATACGTTCAATTTGTAAACAATGAGTCCTCATGAGGAGGACTCAGACTTGTTCCACTGTTACAGTGGGATAGAAACCACTCCCCACACCCTCATCTAGAGGCTTATGGTCCTGGCAGACATGGGAAGCCTGACCACCTGTGAAGACTGAGGCAAAGCACTCACTGAGTACCTCAACTTTTTCCATGTCTGAGGAAACCAGCTCCCCGTTACCTTTCATCAGAGGGGGAGCACTCTCCTTGGCCTGTCTCTTCCTTCCTATGTACCTGTAGAACCTGTTCTTGTTACCTTTCACATCCCTCACCAAGTTCAGCTCCATCTGCACCTTGGCTTTCCTATTCCTATTTCTACACACACGGACAACAGCGCTGTATTCCTCCCAGGACACACAACCCTGCTTCCACTTTCTGTACATTTCTCTCTTTTCCCTCAGTTTAAGCTGCAGGTCCTTGCACAGCGACAGCGACCGCCTGCCTCTCCAGCTCGACTTCTGCTGGGGAATGGAGAGCTGTTGCACCCTCAGAAGGGTGTCCTTAAAGAGCTGCCAGCTCTGTTCTGCGCCCATGCCCTTAAGGACAGTTTCCAGGGAATCCAACTCAGCAGTTCCTTGAACAGCCAAACTCTGTTCTCCTAAAGCACAGGGTCTGAGCTCTGCTTTTTGCCAAGCCCACATTCTTCAAGATCACAAACTTCACCAAGATATGGTCACTACAGCCCAGGCTGCCTCCAATCTTAACCTTCTATTGCTCTCCTCTGCCTTAGTGAGCACCAGGTCCAGTAAGGCTTCACCTTAGGTTTGTCCATCTATTACCTGGACCAGGAAGTTGTCCTTGACAGACTCCAGGAATCTCCTGGATTGTCTGCCATCCGCCATGCCACTATCCCAGCAGATATTTGGGGGACTTTGAGACAGCAGATGATCTCCCACTGCTTGAGGAGCATCTGCCTCGCACCCTTCCTGCAGGGATGGCAGTGTGTGACTCCACCAATCGATCCCCTTCCCACAATCCCGGATGCTCCTCAGCCTTTCTACTTCCTCCTTTAGCTCTACCACCTGGCTGAGCAGATCATCCACCCGCTCACACCGCACACAGCTGGCATCCCGGCTGCCCTCCTGCAGCAGTGACAGGGCCAGGCATTCTCTGCAGTCTGAGACCTGAACTGCGGCATGGACATTCATGCTATCAGTCTGAGTCTCTGCGCCCCGCCGTGTGGTGACCACGGTTGCACCTCGGTGTGTCCGGAGAGCAACGACCCGTTAAGTGCCCTGTTAAGTGCTAAGCCCCCTCCTATACGGCACGGTGCCCCGCCCTGCCTGCTCGCTCACTCGCTTCACAGTGATAACAGCCCTCCTCCCTATGTAGTCCCGTGAATGGGTGGCTTATGAATTCCTCTTGTTAAAACAGCCCACGTGATTCACGCACCCTGACGGCTCCTCTCCGACCCTGAGGCTTTTTCTAAGCAGGGCGCGTGGATGCAGAGCCGTTGCCCTGGCAACACCCGCTTCACGCCAGCCGCTCTCGCGAGAGCTGCCGGGCTGCTCTGTTGTCTCGGGGCTCCCCGGATGAAGGAACCGACCGAAACCTCCCTGTACCTCGCGGTCAGTCGCTGCGCTTCTGGCCGGGACAGCTCCGAAGCAGCGAACCTCGGCGATCAAGCTGAAGAGAGGCTTGATCAGAGGAGGTACATTCTCCTTGATTGTTCTCTTCTGACTAATGTACTTTTAGAATCCCTTACCATTTTACACCTCACCAGGTGCTTTTCCATCTGTACTTTGGCTTTCCTCATCCCATCTCTATGCATCTGGACAGCATCCCTGTATTCTTCCCAGGCCACCTGTCCCTCCTTCCACTGCCTGTATATCCCCTTTGACCAGCAGGCCCTTGCTTAGCCATGACAGCTTCCTGCCTCTTCTGCAGGAGAATGGAGATCTCTTATGCTCAAAGAGAGGTCCCCTGTAGTTAAGAAGCTGAGTCCTTCTTAATGCTGTCCTGTACACAGTGTTTTCTCTTTTTTTCTTATTTTCTAAATAAAACCAGATGATAATAGATAAAGCAAACGTAATCCAGACATAAACGGTATTCTACATTATGCCAGCTTTATATATATACACTGTCAATCAGCTGTTTTCAATAAGGTTTGAAGTGTTAAGTTTAAGAAATTGCCAAGAACAATGCTCCAGAATTTCAGTTGTGAGTGACGAGCTCTGAACTAGTACACTGGCACTGCAAATCTCTTCACTTCATGAGGCTCTTCTTGCTCAACATGACATCACACTTGCTAAGAAACAAACTCTTTTTCTTCTTTCAAATTCTGACACGATCACAGAGCTGAGGTTGGAAGGTGAAGCTTTTGAGGAGCACTGTAATTTACCATAGTGTCAATTCTGTGCTCTAAATTAAGGGTTACAGTGACAGTAACTATTGAGAAAATTAAGATGCTGGCATGGGAAGTCTTTCTACTGTGGCAGAGTATTAAAATTTCGCAGTACAAGTATTCAGCATTAATAGATAAATTTCAAACATCAAACTAGATTTTCAAACTAGAAATTGAAAGAGCATGTTAGAACATGAACTGCTGCACTGAGCAGATAGTGCTGTATTCTGGATTTGAGTGGAAGTTTTCACTTTGATTTTCTTTCAGGGAATGGTTACTAATTCACAGTTATATAGATGAAATGTGCTATATATTATTTCATTAAGTGGTGTACTATTAGAGTAATGAGGGGGCTTTGGGTTTCATTTCAGCCAAATTCAGTCTTGCTTCTCCAAAAGGGATTTGCTCCTTTAGGTATTATATGAAGGAGAATAAGCTCTAAAACACTAAGATGTTTATGCCTATCTGTACATTTCTCATAGGTCTGTTAGTCAGTTGCTTTTGTAATGCTACCTTGGGTGGGACTCTTTCTCTAAAGGAGAAGGTCTTTTCTCAAAGCAGGCCGAAGTAATGATTTTGCCATCAAGCCAAAATGAGGCAACGTTAAGAAAGATATTTGGTTAGTGCAAAGTAAAATTTAATTTCAGACATTTTTTCTTTAATGAAACATTATATTCTGTTATTGAGATATATTACATTAGCATAAAAATAGCTTTTGAATGAGACTATCAGTATTAGTAACCATATATATATACTTCATAGTAGTTTATTTATGCAGCTGAGGCAATGCAGACAAAAATAATTGTGAATAAATATTATTTTGTTTACTGCACCATTAAATTATTTTATTTATTTATTTATTTATTATTATTTCCAGACCATCAAGGCTTGTTTTAGGCTTAATATATTTAAATTAAACCTTTGTAAGTTGCTTCAGAATTGATGTCCTACATACTGCAACAGAATTTCTGGGCTGTCTTTGTGTGTGACTCCTTCTGAAATGGTGGATCTTGAAACTCAGGAGACAGCTCTGAGGAGAACTTGGTATATGAGCTTGTATGCTCTCTGCTTTAATAATATAGGTATTCTTTTTGGCAGCACCAGAAGGGAAAGTTTTTCTGTTATAGATTGGTTTTGACGTGTATAGAACTCATCACACCCATATTCATGCTCCTATTTTTTTCTCATTTGTGTTAGCTCAGAAGTAGATTGTGAACCTCTGTAGGTAGTCAGACACACAAAATCCAGACTGAAGTCTGAGCAGCTCTCTTTGGCTTCTTTTTTTTTTTTTTTTTTTTTTTTCTCCCACCATTTTCCACCAGTTAAATATTTCCCTCTACAGGGTCCTGTTGTAATCATAGGAAAAGGACAGAAATTACTTCAGTGAGAAACTGAGGGGAGATCTTACAGTGATGCCATGATGATTTCAACAACTGAGTTTTTCAATTCCACATCATTTTTTGCTGACCACAACTGTGAATAACATCCTAGTTATAAGGGTTTCATCAAAAAAAAAAAAAAAAAAAAAAAAATCAAATGGAGTTTCCTTTTACTGCAAGTAAAATATGCTTTTTATCCTCCCTGATCACTTTTTTTTTCAGAAAGATCAATAGTGAAATGTTGCTGGCACACCTCACTGATTTGACTTTTTTTTTCATTACTATAGTGTGATTTCACTGGTTTTAGAAATCACAGAATCACAGAATGGCCAGGGTTGGAAGGGACTTCAAGGATCATGAATCTCCAACCCTCCCGCCACATGCAGGGCCACCAACCTCCCCATTTAATGCTAGATCAGGTTGCCCAGGGCCCCATCCAATCTGGCCTTGAACACCTCCAGGGACAGGGCATCCACAACCTCTCTGGGCAGCCTGTTCCAGCACCTCACCACTCTCTCTGTAGAGAACTTCCCCCTGACATCCAACCTAAATCTCCCCTCCCTCAACTTAAAACCATTTCTCCTTGTCCTGCAATATTTAAATCCTTCCAAAACTATCAGGAAGAAGAATTGGTTGCCAGCAGGGAGAGGGAGGTGATTGTCCCCCTCTAGTCAGCTCTTGTGAGGCCCCATCTGCAGTACTGCATCCAGGCCTGGGACCCCAGCACGAGAAGGATGCAGAGCTCTTGGAGCAGGTCCAGAGGAGGGTCACTAAGATGATCAGAAGAGGGCTGGAGCACCTCTCCTATCAGCAAAGGTTGAGGGAACTGGGCTTGTTTAGCTTGGAGAAGAGAGGGCTCCAGGGAGAGCTCACTGCGGCCTTCCAGTACTTGAAGGGAGCATATAAATAGGAAGGGGAATGATTCTTTACATGGGTGGAGAGTGACAGGAGAAGGGGGAATGGTTTTAAACTGAGACAGGGGAGGTTTAGGTTAGATAGATAGGAGGAAGTTTTTCACACAGAGGGTGGTGATGCACTGGAACAGGTTGCCCAAGGAGGTTGTGAATGCCCCATCCCTGGAGGCATTCAAGGCCAGGCTGGATGTGGCTCTGAGCATCCTGGTCCGGTGGTTGGTGTCCCTGCACATAGCAGAGCGGTTGAAACTAGATGATCATTGTGGTCTTTTTCAACCCAGGCCATTCTATGATTCTATGAAGAGGTATATAAACTTTGTAATCAAAGTTTAGTTTTGTCTTATCTGTCTTGTCATCTCTGGTCCATGTTTTGCATCCTTACTAAAGCTGAATATGTCCCATTACTTAGTCATATACAAAGTACTTATCAGAATAATAGAATGCCCTACACCTAACATAGTTGGTAGCAGTACAAACTGCGGCTTTAATTTGTATTTGTGCTGTAACAATTACTTATTTTACGTTTTGCCATAACAGTGTTATACTGCTCCTATACACACCATAACTGTAAAACATACTCTGCTTCTACATTCATTTAAAGAGCAACTACTTGATAAGTACAAAGTAATTAAGCAATAAGACATGACAGGCAGTGCATTTCTGGGGAATTATTGCACTTCTTAGATTCCTTGAAAGATATGAGGCTAAAGGTTGAGTGACTTCAGTCACCTGAAAAGTGGAATTACCTCCCAGAAATGCATTGCTTACTATAGTTTATTGCTATTATGAAATGGAAATTGTGAAATCAAAATAGGAGGAAAAGATTAGATCTATGCATTTATGGAGGATTACTTATAGAAGTATGACATCATTGTCAGCTCTATATGTGTCGAGAGAGTTCTTAAAGCCGTTTCAGAATTAGCACGTGAACAACAGGGCTCATCTGAAACTGCTGCTTCAGCAGTCTTCATTATCATCTTTACCTAGACTGGCCCCCCAACATTTCCCTGCAAAATCATTTCTGTATTCTCAGTACAGATTTGTCTCTGATACTAATCACACTACCTCAGGAGGTGTGGTTATTCTGAAATAATCATACCCCCTGGAGGATTCGAGGCATTTGGTTGCTTCCTTGCCTTGTAACACCCCAAGGTCATTATCTCATGATAATCACATCTCCTGGAGTTGCCTTATTGCTTAAGTGTAACACTAAATTTTAATTACAATGAAATAGAGCTCTTTTGGTAGTATGTACAACATCCTGTGTGCACAAAGCCAGATGGAAGTAATGCCTGGCTTTTACTGTAATAGCATGTGGCGGGTTTGTGCTCCAGTGCAATAAATGATTATGTTTTTGATAAGAAAATCATTCCAAACTGAATCTACACTAGTGTCCAATGTAACATGGGCTTTTAATATTGTTTTGATTTGTTGCAAATTTAATTCCAATTAGAAACATACCGTGAAGATATACACTGATAACTTTCTACATCTCTTAAAGTAGACACACTTGCTACTGAATTGCACTCTGAGTTTGCTGAAGATGGAGAGTATAATGCTCATCTCTTTGGACATTTCAAGCAGTCATCAGTGAAAAAATGATGTCTGCTTTGAAAAATTAGGATCAAATATGATTCAGAATTTCTGTTTCTTTCAAAAGACTCAAAAAAAAAAAAAAACATACCAAATCCATGCGAGAAATGCATTTCTCATTTTTAACTCTTTTCAGCTCTGAAGTTCGAAATACCATCACAGGGCCCATCTAACCAGAGGTTTCTTGAGAAAAGGTTAATTTTGTAAAGACATTTAAAGTTCACCAAAGAAGAGAAACTGTTATAAAATTATTTTGCTTAAGAAATTAAATATATGTATTTATTAAATAGTTTTGGTTGTTTCCACAGCAAGATCTTACAGATTTTAAAACACTTCCTGCATTAGCTAGAGAAGTTATCATGTTTTATATTTACCAGATCTTCAATAGGATGTTATACTTGGAAGTATTAAAAATGCACTTCTCCAAATCAAATAGATGAAAATATATAACATATGTGAAAGTCCAATAATTTAAACAACCACTACAACAAAAAGAAAACATATAAAATAAAAAATACCATATCTGTTGGACTACATAATGCTGCTGAAAGCATCACACTTATAAATGATTCTGCACTGTTTTGATCTCAGTTAGAACTACAGCTGTGTTTTGAGGCACTTACAGATACATTTGCTGTTCATTCTTAGTGAAGCTCTTGACATAACACTGCACTACTGGGTGCTTTCAATGCTTTAAGAGTTCTTATTCTTCTGTTATTCTTTTTTAGACATTTACATCAAAGACAATAATACAAAATCGTTTGTGAGGATAATCAGACTCCATGATCACAGTTTTTCATGTTTTATTTTGTTGATTTGTCTTTCTGCACTGCAGCTTCAACAATTAAATGTTAACGCATTTAGCACTTGAAGCTGCATGTACTGTCATGTTTATTGTTCTTAGCATAACCTTTATTTCATTATTAAATCAGCGTGAAAATAAAAAGACTGTTCTTTGCTATGATCTTAGTTTAGGTGTGCTACTTAAAGTGGAGTTCTTAGTTAATTGCTTATAATATAAAGTTTCAGACAGGTTACTCTGCCTCAGCAAATCTCCCTGCTAATCAATTTCTTTTGTCCCATCCAATGACACCTTCTTGGAAATCAGTGACCATTTTCTGACTGACTAGTTAGAAATTGATTTTATGAAGATAATAAGCTTCTACGTGGTCTGTTAAATGAGTGGCTCTCAAAGAAAGGAGACCTGATTGGTGTTCTCCATCAGGAAATGAGGAAATGTTTCATAATAAGGAAAAAAAAGCCTAACAAAATAACATTTTGTAGTAGACCTTCCAGGACTGCTGTGTATGAGAGATGTTACAAGTTAAATTGAATCAGTTTTTGTTTCATTACATTTCATTCTATTGGAATTATTTTTTTAACACATTTTCAATGTGAGAGTCTGAGTCTTTCCTCATATATCATGATTTTCCCATTGAAATCAGTAACTCATTTCAGGAACAGTTAGTTTTAACCTATTAGAAGAGAAACTTGTTTTCACTACAGCTGTGGGAGTGTGGAAAAACAGGAAAATCTGATCAATCCTTCCGATACAAAATTAGATTGATTCTGCAGTATAGGACAATGAAATTTAATTAGGTTTCTTCTGTGCTGAAGTTTGCAGTTCAGAGAAGGATCATTATATTTTCATAGTATTGATGATTAATTGCTTAATAGAGACTAGACAGAGTTACTTTGGATACTCTGTTCAGGATCACCATAATAATAATGATAATAATAATAATAATAATAATAATATAATGTAGCGTTAGGAAACCAAATTATTAACTGTTGCACAAAGTGGCTATATTGTGAATATTTCACCTTTACCAAAGCTTCTTATCTTGTTCTGCTCTTGTGCATAGGTCAAATTATGCACTGCTTTGTGCTAGTTTGACAAGAACTAATGTGGATACTTAAATATTTTAAAGGCTGCACATTTCAGAATGATAAAATACTCAACTGCTTTTCCTTTCCTGTTGAATTTGTGGTTAATGGTAAAACAGTATATATATTTTTTTCCACTAGTAATTTAACAACAAACACTAAAAATCTTTTGAGGAAAATCAAGAGAGAAAATGTTCAAATAAGGCCACATAATAACACTTTCTAACTACAGTTAGTTTTTATTCAGCCATAAAATCTATCTTTCATATAGAAACTCACTTACATGTCTTACTTCAGTGAAGGTTATTTGTAGACTGAAGGTCTTTTCTTGTCAAGATATGATGAATACCATGTGTGAAGACAGAAGAGCATCAGGACCTGTATTAGCCGGAAAACCCACTGATCTGTGAATAACCTAAAAAAGAAAACCTGAAGATTAGCAACGTCGCTTTTAAGAATGATCCATCAAATTCAACAAGCAGATTCACAGAGATGAATCATCTAGTTCCTTTTATTCCAACAATACAGTAAAGGTTATTTCCTTTCCTTACAAATAGAAGTTCCAAAACGAAGGGAATAGAGACTTACAAGTCTTTTTCAGTCATAAGGCAATGATTATACATTTTTTGTGTGGTGTGCTTTTTAAAAATTTATTTATTTTTCAAATGAAGTAGATATGGGTTAACCTATCCAGTACACAGCTAAACAGCTGTCAGCTTCCATTTGGACACACTATTTTTAGTGCATAAAAAGATGGTGATAGATGGATGTTAAGAATTTTTTTTTTCAGTTTCTTTAATTGATATGAAGACATAAATAAATTTAAGTATGGATGTAATATAGATCTCTGTACATGCAACAGTATCCTGTTTGTACTTACTGAGGATCACAGAATCACAGAATTGTAGGGGTTGGAAGGAATCTCTGAAAATCATCTAGTCCAAATTACGCTAAAATACGCTACTCTGAAAGTCCCTTCTATCTCTTATATTTACAAACTGGGAGATGCGACACTGGAGAGCAGCCCCTCTGAAAGGGATTTGGGAATCTCAGTCAACAGCACATTGGATGTGAGTCAACTGTGTGCCCAAGCAGCAGGAAGGCCAAAGGTATCCTAAGATTCATCAAACATGGCATTGCTAGCTGCTGGAGGAGAGTGATCATCCCAATCTACGCTGCACTGGTGCAGCCTCACCTTGAATACTGTGTGCAGTTTTGGGTATCAGAATACAAAAAGGGCATAAAACTATTAGGGAGTGTCCTAAGAAGGACTACAAAGACAATGAAGGGTCTGGAGGTGATGTATGAAAAGCAACTGAAGTTAGTTCAAGCCAGAGCAGAGGAGACTGGGGACAGACCTCATGACAGCCTATAGCTCCTAATGAGGGTAGTGGAAGAGCAGACCTGAGTTCTGCTCTGTGTGACAGCAACAGGGCCCAGGGAACAGCATGGAGCTGTGTTGGGGGAGAGGCAGCTGGGGACTGGGGACAGGGTCTGCACCAGAGGGTGGTTAAGCACTGAACAGGCTCCCCAGGGCAGTGGTCATGGCTGCGTGCTGCAGAAGTTCAAAAAGTGCCTGGTCAGTGCTCTCAGACATGTGGTCTGATTGTTGGGTTGTTTTCTGTGGAGCCAGGAGCTGGTCCTTGTGGGCCCCTTCCACTTCAGGATATTCTGTGATTCTATTAGTCTTTGTAACTAAAAAAAAACTGGAAAGGGGGGAAATTCCAGTGATTGTAACAAGTTTAAAAAGTGAAAAAGCCATGAAATATATGTTCCATGGTCATCTATCATATGTGAACGTAGAAGACACTGTCAATAGTGCTCAAATGCAGGACTGCAGCAAAGTGAAGAACTTGAATTTGGCAGTGAAAGTCTATCTGCATCATTGATTTGAACTTTAGTTTAAACAGACACCCCTTCAATTTAATTTCCCATTCTGATGATGTTAAAGCAAGCTTGCTACTAAATAAAATGGAGTTAAAGAGACATGTTGTTTGATATAGCAAAACAATGAAACAATTTAATTAGGTGATAATGTTTCTGGCACTGGAGTATACACAGCAATAAACTGCTTTTGCAGTTGATTAAATGCTGAAGTGAAGCAGAGCGTGAAATCTTTCTCCCAGGATTGAGCTGCCTCTGGATCTTCCCATTATCTCTGGATCTCCCCACTCCTGAAAGGCAGTGGAGCTTGCTAATGATGCTCTTGTGATTCTCATTTACAGGTGTTGAGAGTGAAGCTTTCAAGGATCCAGGAGGTGAGCAATGGCTTTATCTATTTGATTTTTTACATCACTATGTTCCTGCAGGCAGTTCCCAAAGAGACTTCTTATTCACTGGTTCCCTCCCTTCTGCTTTCATATGCAATGCAGTGAAGGTATAGTAATACATCCTGGGAGATACAGGCACCGAAAAGAACACATGCCCAGTGGCGGGTTCTGTCCTACAAATTTTAAATTCCAGGCAAGAGTTTGGTTCCTTAGCTTCCTCTACTTTTATTAGTAGTGAAGTATGCAGAATAGCTTCAAACTGCCTTTGGAATGAGAAAAACAACTGAAATTTTAAGAATGGAAAGCTGCTCTCCTTCTTCAGTCTGTTTCTGAAACAGAACCACATTTTATGATAACCTGGACTACAGATTATTATGAAGGATTTTGATGACCACTGTTTAAAAGCTCTTTAAGGCTATTCCAAATTATCTTTTTTACTCTGTGGAAACCTCTACTTATTTCCTATAACATAAGTTATATAAAACAAAGCCAAAATTCCAATTTGTTTTGGTACATTAAGTTGTTGAAATAACATTTGTATTGGACAGTATCCATTTCTCCCCCCAACTTCTATATCCTTTTCCAGAGGTCCTCTCTTTTGTCAGTACATTACTATGGTGTAGAAACATTTTGTAATAGAACACAATAAAAAAAATATTCTCAACTATAATTCTGAAGAAAATATTTCTTAATGGAGATCATTTAAATTTCCTGTTTGAACTCCTGTGGATGGATGCATTTCCTCAGAATTCTGCAATTTGCTATTAAAATACTCAGCCAAAAACTTCACTTCCAAGAAATGTCCTTGGTTTGGCCATTACATAATTCAGTACTTCTGAATACTTCTGGGAAGCTCTGAAGTTAAATTTTTATATTTAAAAGTCTAATTGCTAAGTTCCTAGGTGAGCTTTTTAAATGCAAATTCAGTACATCAACCACCTCTATTCCTCTTTCATTCCCATGATCATCAAATCAAGCACCCCTCTGTCAGTCCAGGCTTCCTTCAGATTTGTGACCTGAACTGAAATCTTAACAGCTCTTCCAACAATTAAATCTCTGACAAAAGCTTGTATTTCTTCACCACAGAATGGCATGTTCAACAAAATGGCTTCCCTGGGGCCCAATCTCCATCTTTAAACAAAAACAGTTCTGGTTCTCTGGAGACATTATATTTATTGAATGTAAATGTCATAATAGCGTGACAGGTGTTCAAGCTTGTCTGAATTTTGCGATCTGAAGCTCTAGTGTCCTACTGCCTGCCCCACAATTAATCTTATTGTCTTCATGGGGTCCCAGGGTCTATCTGCCCAGATAACAAGGGGCAAAATGACCTGTCAGTTAAGCTTAGAAAAGTGCTAAATCCTGGAAGAGCACTTAAATCCAGCACTTAAAAGGACCTCCTGTACGGAATTGCCTTCCCTACATCTCAACATTTTCCCTAGATAAGATGATGGAGAAAGGGCAAGAGAAAAATCAAAAAACAAACTTAATAACACCTTCCCTTCCAGAGGCTATGATTTATAACAAGATTTTGAGAACATTCTGAACCTATTTCATGATGAATTACAGTATACCTTTACAAGTGACTGCTAAACCAGGAGTTCATGACGGTACTACTTGTGTTACTCTCATACCACTCCTTGTTCTGCCACTAAAATTTAAAATGTGATACATACAAAATAGATCTATAAATTTATATAGTAACTATCCCAACAAATGCAAACTCATTCTGAGTAACCATAAAATTACCTTCTGTTATCTATCACTCAGTGAATTATAGTTTCATCACTTACAACAGCCAGCAAAACTGAATAACACTGCCTGCCTACTCACTATTTCACTGTTATATTCAGTGCAAGTGCTGCAGCTTGCAGAAAAAAAGAATAAACAACAAAAAAATTAGAGTTGAATATATGGTGTGGTAAATAACGGTTGTGTTATCAGCTCTGCACTGAATGCAATTTTTTAAAGTCAGTGTCTATCTCTTTAGCTTTTAGGTTAAACCACAAATAAATCAGTATAATTTTGGTCTCTAGATATGCCAACTGGGTTTTTACATTTATGGAACATTCCTTTATCAAATTACTTTTATTAAACACTGAAACTGAATAAAATACACAAACCACATAGGTTTTAAGTGGATACAAATTGATACAACTGTTTATGTGACAGAGTGCTGGAAAGGATAATCTCAATGTCAATAATAAACTCTGCCTTTAGTTCCTCCTGTCAGGTAAGGCAGCTTCTCTACTATTGTTGCCTGAAGTGGAGGCTGATCACTGTCATGATGGCATAACTTCTTGCCATCACAAGTCAGTGCCAAAGCCATAAAAAACCCACTTCCTTTTTTTTAGGCTGACATTTTGGTCACGAGAAGTCTCACGCTCTCATTAACAGAGGTAGGTACACTGCTTTGTGGTTTTTCTGGCCCAACACAGATAAGTGTTAGAGATACGAACACTGAAACATCAAAGGAAGATGTAATTAACATATGCAGATAAGAATTACAGATGGAAGACATTCAGTAATTTCATGTATGTTTGAAATTTTGATTTCCTGCTCATGAACAGAAAAGACCAAATGCATCATCTGCATTATTTTTCACTCACTTGCTCAGTCTAGGTAGGAACATGAATGCTGCACGTGTTACTAGGATATGAGCTGGTACAACAGAGAGCCTTGCAATGGATCTAGAGTTTCTAGTCCTGCCTTCAAACAGCTTTTCTTCAAGAAAAAAGGAAAAACTTGTGGCATTTGGCTCTTAGAGTCTGCATTCTCAACATATATTTTATCTATATTCTATTCCTCAGAGCATCTACTGTAATCTTGTTTTTCTCTAAAACGTGATAATAAACATTTCAAGCTGAATTTAACGATATATCTAGAGCTTATTCATTCAACATGTGATAAGAACCTTGCCTGCTATTCCAAATTTGCAAATAGAGCTTGACATCAGTCAGAAATCTAGGTCTTTTAACGTTAACATTTGAAAATTGTGAGCTGTCTGCTGTAGAACTTTCATGATATGGTCTTATAAACAAATAAACTGGAAGGTCAAGCTGCCAGTGCCTTGTATACAAAGAAGAACAAGAACGTGCTCTCTGAATAAAACTAAAAGTAATGTTAACTGATCTACTACAAAGCACCAGGAATAATTTAGCATTTTAACCAAGCAATTGAAAGAGCAGATGAATACTTTTGCTACACAATAGAGGGCTTAGACGTTTGGGCAGTGAACTTCCATAACCCATACTTCTTTTCATTTTAATATTCATGTTTATTATCCAAATAGCCTTTTCTTATAATTTAGCAAAGCTCATTAATAAAGCTTGAGACAGGCTCAAAGGATGGAGGAAAATTCTGACATTAAGATAAAATGCCCATTACCAACTCTATTCTGATTGTTTGCTGTAATGTAGATGACTTGTATTTACTGCACAGAATTTGGCCTCTCCTTTCAAGACTGCATATCTTTGCTTTATTATGGTCACTCCTTTCTTGTTTCTTCTTACTTGATAAATCCAAATCTCTCTCCCCCCTCACTTTTTGTATCTTTCCATTATCCTTGCCTCAGTGTCATCCCTTTTATGCTTACATTCAGTGTTACTGCTTTGTTGTTTGTGGGGTTTTTGTTTCTTAGTACTTATTTTTATTTTTAGAAAGAGAAAAGGAAAATTGAAAGAGCAAAAATTTGTTTTCAAAGCTACTTCCAACTATTGCTAATTTCTTGTCAGCTGGTATGTTTTTACATCCTTTTGGTTTGTGTGGGGTTACTGTTTCTTGATAGTCAAGATAATTAAGGATGAAAATTCTGTGAAACATGAACTGGGCTGTTCTAATGAAGGACACATGCAATGCCTCCACAGTAATATAGTAGCAACAGGTAATTAATTCTGAACTTGAACAACATAATATCTGTAGCATTTGGACAAATCAGTTGTCAAGATTTTATGTTTTTTGTTACCAGTATTCCACATAATAACATCATGTAAAGCACTGGGAGCACTTTAAGAGCAGAGCAAGTCTGAGACTGCCTCATGAGACTGAATGTGTACATCTATGGGGCTGGATGGCACGCATCTCAGGGTTCTGAAGAAGCTGGCTGAGATGGTTGCCAAGTTGCTCTCCATCATATTTGATGATTGAAAAGTCATGGCTGTCAGGTAAGGTCCCAGGTGACTGGAGGAAGGGTCACATCACTCCCATTTATAAGAAAGAGAGCAAGGAGGAACCCGGGAACTACAGGCCAGTGAGTCTCACCTCTGTACCTGGCAAGATCATGGAACAGATCCTCCAGGACAACGTGCTTGATCACATGAGGAAAGGGCATGTGAGCTGAGAGAGCCAGCATGGCTTCACCAAGGGAAGGTCATGCCTAACCAATCTGGTGGCTTTCTATGATGGAGTGACGGCATTGGTGGACAAAGGGAAGATGACCGATGTCACTTACCTGGACTTGAGCAAGACCTTTGACATGGTCCCCCACCACATCCTTATCTCCAAATTGGAGGTCTGTGGATTTGATGGGTGGACCTCTTGATGGATAAGAAACAGGTTGAAAGGCCACAGACAGATAGTGGTGAGCAATGGTTCTGTGTCCAGGTGGAGGCTGATAAGGAGCAGTGTCCCCCAGCAGTTTATCGTGGGACCGGTACTCTGTAACGTCTTTATCAAATGACATCGACGATGGAATCGAGTGCACCCTCAGCAAGTTTGCTGATGGCACCAAGCTGAGTGGTGCAGTTGACACAGTGGAAGGAAGAGATGCTGTTCAGAGGGACCTCAACAAACTCATAAGGTGGACCTGGGTGAATCTAATGAGGTTGAACAAAGCAAAGTGCAAGGTTCTGTACTTGGGCTGGAGAAATCCCAGCCAAATATATAGACTGGAAGGAGAAATCCTTGAGCAGCCCTGCAGAGAAGGACATGGAGGTTCTGATGCATGAAATACTGAACATGAGCCAGTAATGTGCTCTTGCAGCTCAGAA